TTATCCTCACGTATCTTTTTGCCCAACCATTGCCTGACAAATTTCCGACTCTCTTGTTCCATCGCCAAACAATAAAAACGATAAATCAGAAAACACAAACAATTTCTCTAAGAAGTTTTTGAAGTTTTCAGCTCTTTTCTGATCGTTCATACTGCAAATGCTATGTGTTTGAATGGGTTTTTTCTAGATTTGTATTGATTCAACTAAGGGACGAAGTCAGAAGTGCCACGCATATTGAGGAATTAGTTGCAGCACTCCATGTAAAATCTGGTTATTTTTAAATTTGTACTATTTGTCATAGTTGGCTTCCTGTACGTCAAATATACTGAATAATATGAAATCCGAAAATAAATCAGGCGCGTTTTAATGTTCCAGTAGATCACCTATTATTTTTATGGTACGTCCAGGAATGTATATATTTATACCTAGATCAGTCTGATTGATTAGTTGGAGATCCAGTTCTGATGTTTGAGTTCAGTGATCAACGTTGCACATATCACAAGGTTACCCTTGACTGTCTCGAAATTCAACTTCGCGTTTTTGCAGTTCATTATACAACAGTCTTGTTTCTGCAGTAAGATGGATGAGTGTATGTTGCGTTTGAAGCAACAAGGAAGGGAGTAATTGATCGAGACAGTTACAAATACAGCACAATGATTCAAACCTGGTATGACTGTGAACATCAGATATTTTGTTATAGTTTTGTGGTCACAGGAAAATCACATCAGGCTGGAAGAGCGCAAAAACGACGTGTTGTCATGTCAGACATTTAAATGCCCACTCTTTCATACCTAGTTTCGACCACCGCATTATCTACATTTGATACTTTCATCTTCGTTACCGTTTCATTTCAGAAATAAATTCAAGACCATTTTATGTATCTTCTATATTTCCTCAATCTATATGTGATCTCTTCTCATGGCTTGCAGACATACATCACCATACACGCCCCATAGCGTACAAAGTATACCCAGATTAGCTTCATATGTGTCAAAAAATCAACCTTTCATAGTCAAATAATCAGCCTAAAAGTTGCGGTTTTGTATTGTGTACGACACAGTTTGATGATTCTGTACAACGTCCAGGCTATCCGTGTGTCTACATATACTTTTTAACCGCAGCCATCTTCAGTTGTCTTATTCTCGAACTTGAAGTACCACTCTTGAGTTATGAATTTAATTGTATGTTACATGTGACCATTTCATTATTGGTGCTTCGCGACTTAAAAACTTCACTTTAAGGCAAAGATTGATCTGATTGGCAACCATGTGAAGAACTGTTCGACCTGAGAGATGGCTTAAAAATAGTAGTATAGAGAAGCTGTAGCGTCAGTTATTATGGCAAGCCCATCTACCTTATTCTAACTTGTGGACATCCTATTTAATTCATTTTACTTGAGCCATATTTTGACCTTGTTAATTATTCGCTTATTAGCCCTGACTGTTTTCATATGAGCGTATGTGTGTACATTTCATGTCCCGTGACTTATCACATGTCTGTCGTTTATTTTGTCCGCCTATAAATATTAAGTAATGCCTAGCTTGAAAGGGAGTTGGCTTCCCAGCCATCTTCCCTGTGCGTCATTTTGTTTGGCTCTGTTTCATTCGCTCCATGTACGAAATATATGTATTGTCAAGTCAATTCTCGTTATTCGAATTATTTAATTCCGTTATTGGATAACGCGATCTAAGTCGACAATGATATACGAGAATAGGCGATAGCAAACACTCATACAATCTGAATTGGAGTCAGATCACGGGCCGCCACAAAGCTGAATGTGAAGTAATTTTTCAGAGCTGGCAGAAGCCTGAACTTGTGCTCACTCGTGCGGCGAGATATAAGTAGTCGAATGGCTCATCCTTTTACGTAGTTTAGTAGATGCTAGGAGTGGCATTTTCTCACATTTCATGAAGGGAAGTAAACCTCTAACTGAATGAACACTTTCTGGTTGTAATTTCTATCTGACTCGCCTCTTTCACGACAATGCCATACTCATCCCATACGGCTTAACTTCCTCTCCTCCAGAATCTTGTGAGAAACATGTCCTCAGGCATTCGGCCAAACTTTTATCCACATTCCAAATGTAAGCACTGTCACCCAGTTTAAACTTTGGCACGAATTCCAAGAGGATCGATGAACTTTGCATTAATAAATACTTTGGAAATTTCACTAAACAAGTATCTGCTATAACTCCAGTTTCTAACAATCATTTTAGGCAACTTAAACTAGCAACCACTGTCACGGTTGAAATATCGACGTCCATAAAGAGAACGAAACACCATGTAATTAACTGTCTGCAGCTGCTAATCCAGAACTAGTGAATGGACAATGGTATAGGAATACGGTTATTCAACATATACAAGTTCACTCACTGGTAAAGCAATACTGGCAGGATATCATTAAAAAATATCTAAACAACAATAATAAGAACAACTGTCTCCATGCTCTTTCCGAACGCGCGCGAACTTTGAAAGTGGTAATATTTTTTCACGTGGCTTAGGAGTTCTTCGACTTGCTCTTTTGTAGGGTGTATTATATTGTGATTATCATCCTATCCTGTACATCGGAAACATCTCAACCCGAAACATAAGAAAAAAACTTAGTTTTATTCGACGGACAAATACCAGTTCGTATTGTACCTATTGCGGACTTAAGTCGTAAATAGATCTGCAATTTATTATATACTCATAGTCTCTCATCCCAGTATTAACCAGGTTAATACTTAATAACAAATAATACTCAGATATTATATTTAATTTAACGAGCACTGTGCTCACTTATTTTCATATCATGTCCAATAATTCCAGTAAAAGAGAAATTTCACCAACCTCTAAGCCAAATAAAAGGTCCAAATCTGTAACACCTGCAACTGACGACTCAGTGCTTGACAATGTCGAACCTTTAACTACTGAAAAATATGTGTATTGTACACAAATGTCTCTATCGTCACCAGATTCTCCATGTCGCAGCCCCTCTATCTCTACGTGCAGTATGCCAACGGTAAGACTGGTTGACATACAAGACACTATACCTACGTGCATCGAAAAGTCAGCACAGTCTACTAGACAGTATGTGCTACCAAGGTCAAAGTCTAAAATTTCAAAAACTAAAGAGTCCAATGGTCCTCCTCATACACACCAAAATACTGATAGATATAGTAATGAAATCCGACAGCTGCAAAACTCCCTATCCAAAATTAACGGCAAACTTGAGCAATTAGCACCCCTCACTCATATATGGGGCCTTGACATAGAAATCTTGAGCAACTCACTAAAGCTGAGTGTATTTTGGAGTTTGTGACTGAAGAGAGTGATGTCCTCCTTCAATGCAGTTGTGTATAACCTTCCCGACCGCACACACCCATCTAAGCTAAGAGATATTTGCCTTAAAGCATGCGGTATGCCGAACGTTAACTGCAAAGTCATCCGCCTTAGAAAAAAGTCAGACAGAACGATTTGCCCCATTTTGTTTATGTTTGGCTGTTGTAACGATGCTAAGCAGTTTATTAATTCGAGCAAAAATATTAGCTCACTAATTCCATACAAAAATATAAAAGTTACTCCAGACCTTACGCCCTGCCAACGTCGTGTAAGAAGACGCGAAGCGATAGAATTGAATGGTAGTGTTACAGTTAATAATCAGCTAGAGACAGTTTGCAACACAGCAAATAGTTTAAAACACACGAACAATAAGCATGACACCACTCCACATACGGCTGATCACTCTGTTGATCTAGATGAGTCTGCTGATCAGAAACCTTTGGATAAGATACAGACCCCAACTGACACCAAAAACCATAACGACATGACTAATCCCAGTTGTTCGTTCAGTAATGTACTAAAATGTGAGTCGTGTAACAACACACGTGCAACTAAACCTATACACTTGAAAATTTGTCCTCCTAAAGATATTTCACAAGTAGACTTGAATGAACGTAAGTTCATCTCACAAAGACAACGAAAGACTCCAGCTCTGAAAATAAAGGGTGGGAAGACAAAACTCATGATACCGAGTAGGGAAACACGTAAGATTGAACCCAACTGCTCTATAGGTACCCCAAGAACAGTGAACAGGTTCTCCCCGATGCTATCGTATAACTTGCCTTCAACACCTTCAAGTTGCAAAATGGGTGGTGGGCTTCAACGTAGCAAGCCTTCTTACACGCAGACTAACGAAAACTACCAGAGAACTGCCCACCCAAGTCACCCTGTGAAGCCTAATACCATAAATAAGAATGGTAATAATAGGTTTCTCACTTCACACCCTACCTACATTCCCCAGGATCGCAACTGCAATTACTCTCAGAAAGAAAACTTCTCATACCCTTTACTACCGACCCATCACATAACAACGGCTCCCATGTATAACAACAGTCGCAACTCCTCCCAGTTACGCGTAGCAGACCCCTCTCACGCTAACGTAAATAGCCATAACAGGGGCTACGAGTCTAACCATCAAGACTATTTTGTAAATAACCATACACTTCACAGTAGGCCTGTACAAGATTTTTTTGTAATAAGACCCCTAGTGACACCTCTGTTGAAGCATATAGCCCAGGTTATTTCAAACCACATGCAAACCATAAATTTGTTTCCTCCGTACAGTTTCCATCACAGAGTACTCGCACCCTTTCCTCCTGGGTAAACTCCCCAATCAACTTCACTAGCTCATTTGATACATCTTCCACTAAATCTAGCTATCAAAATACCGAGCTAATGAAGAACATTCAATCCCTCATTTCAAACTCATCTCACACCCGCGAGGGTTACGACGACTTTATCCGAGATACCCTCACCCATTTTAACTTAGTAGGCCACTTGCTTAATATATGTCTTATCAACGCTCGGTCGATCTGCAACAAAAAGACGGATTTAGCCCTGTTTGTATCCATATATCAACCATCAGTTATTATGATATCTGAAGCATGGACTAACAGTAATATTTCCGACCAAAGTATATCTTTTGATAACTATTTCCTGTATAGAAGCGACAGATTGAATGGACGAGGCGGAGGATGCCTTATTTACGCTCACTCTAGCCTAAACTCACTACTATGTGATATGCCTGAACTAAACAAACTGAAGGACTCGGTGTGGATTGTGTTAAAGCTGTCGAATTCCGTTACCTTACTGCTCGGCTGTGTTTATCGTCAACCTAACGCATCAATAGATGATATAGCAGTATTATCGGAGGTATTCACACTAGCATCATCCCTCTCATTCACAGGCAAGCTCATTTGTGGTGACTTCAATATGCCCGAAATTTCTTGGCTGCCAGTCAAAGCGCCGAGACGTTATGAATCATTTATTGAATGTCTAGAGCTCGGACAATGGACTCAGTATGTCGATAGCCCTACCAGACATCAAAACATCTTGGACTTAGTCTTTACCAGTGGCCTCATCCCCAATACTTTGTATATTGGAAAAAAGTTCCCAGGTAGTGATCATAACATTGTCATATGCAGCCTTAATGTAAAAACCACAACCGATAGAAGCAAAACCGTAACACCTCGTAGAAACTATCGCAAGGTTGATTGGAATAACTTCCACAATTACCTAAGAAGCACTGATTGGGGAACTTTCTTTACCTCAAACAATACCGACACATTAACTAATGTATTTTATCACAACATCAAAAGTATCATCAACAACATCGCACCTTTAGAATATTGTAAACCTGCGTTCTCCAAAGATCTCTATATACCGGTCAGTACAAGAAGACGTCTTCAAAGACATTGCACTCAATTCCACAACTTAAATGACTTTTCCTCTTTAGTAACGATGACAGAAATACTTGTCCGAACAGAGGCAATAAGTAAACAAAAAGCAGTAGCACAGGAAAAACGTGCAGTTGAACTTAATAATAACTCCTCTGCACTCACCATACTACTCCAAAATAAACTTAAACGCTCTAAATCGAGAGGGAGTATATTCATTAAAGGCAAACAAGTATACGAAGATCCCAAACTTGTCACAGAATTATTTAGTGGACATTTTTGTTTCTCACTAACTAACGAAAAACCATTTAATGATTCAGAACCAATTCCAGTAACTCCCTGTGAAATTACTAATGTAGAATTCAGTGTACAAAATATCTCCAAGGTAATCAGTACATTGAAACACTCATACACTGATGGACCAGATGGTATTCCATCTAGCATGCTAAAACGTGGAGGTGATGATATGTGTGTTTTGCTTCTCAAACTATTCGCGATATCACTCTCTTCAGCGTGTTACCCCACTGCCTGAAAAACTACACACATCATTCCCAAAATTAAAACAGGACCTGAAGCAAACGTTGAAAATTACCGGCCCATAAACATAACTTCAGTGGTATCCAGAGTGATGGAAAAAGTAGTTAAGGCCGCTGTAGTCCAACATCTACTAACTAATAATCTCATCTCGACCTCCCAGCATGGATTTCTTAGGTCCAGATCATGCGATACATGCCTAGTAGACTACCTGAATGATATAACTCTGAAACGAGACAGCGGACTCCTTGTATCAGTCCTATTCCCAGACTTTAAGAAAGCCTTTGATAAGGTCCCACACAAAAGGCTACTCGTCAAACTAAAGTCCTTCGGAATACACAACACACTGTACTCATGGTTTGCTTCGTTCTTAACAGAACGTAAACAGATGGTAAAGTACAATGACTGTCTCTCGTCCCCTAGACCAATCACCAGTGGAGTCATCCAGGGAAGCGTATTAGGTCCACTTTTGTTTCTTATGTATATAAACGATATATGTAACACCATAGAATTTGGGAGACCATACTTATATGCTGATGATCTCAAAATAGTATACAGCTATAAGCCTGAGACACTAAGCGAAAGTGTATCCCAGATCCAAAAGGACCTCAATAACTTAACTAGATGGAGTGAAAAATGGCAATTACCATTTAACCTCAACAAGTGCGGGATTATGCACTTTGGAAAGCATCCCTATAAACCGCAACTTCACTTAAATGAAAGTAGAGTCCAAACACTCGAATCAGTACGCGATTTAGGAATTGATTACACAGAAAGCCTGAACTTTGAAGAACATGCCTCCTCTATTATTTTTAAATCTAGACGGCTAATTGGCTTTATAATGAAAAACTTTTTCACAACAGAGGGTAAACTTACTCTCTACAAAATATGTGTACGTCCCTCCCTTGAATACTGCTCTTTTGTCTTCTCTAATATGAATATCACAGACAAGATAAGAGTAGAAGATGTTCAAAGACGTTTCACACGTCAACTACTAGGATGTAACTCGAATCTCGATTACACAGATAGATGTAAGCATCTATCTTTAGAACCTCTATGGCACCGTAGGCTAAAGAACAATTTAATATTTCTCTACAAAGCGATATATGGGCTGTCCTTTCTAACCTCCTGCCCGACTATTACCCACGACCCAGCCTATAGACTTAGAAATACCCTTCCACGGTGTGGGCAACCGGGAAGTGACACCAGCCCTCATACCCGTAACAGCACACGAGACCAAGTTGGTCACATTCAAATCCTTCCTACACCTTCTAATACCTCTCTTATCTCTATGACTAACCCTCCTCATGTCTCTGTATCACCTCGCACCGCTAGGGCAAACGATTCGAGTACGTGGAACTCTATTCCTGGTCTCCTGAAACCACGCTCTAAACTACACGTAGGAGCTTTTAACGTCCGAACACTGTGCCAAATAGGACAGCAGACTTCCTTAGCTAGGACTTTAGAATCTCGCGCCATCGATGTGTGCTGCGTCTCCAAAACGCGCATACAGGATCCGAGTAGCGTCATTCATTTGACTTCACCATGCCAAAATAAAGAACCGACTCGATTTACGCTTCGTGTATCTGGAAGCCCTGATTCTGCTTCCCGTGGACTCGCCGGCGTAGGTATAGCATTGAGTCCTGGAGCAGAATTAGCTCTCTTAGAGTGGATCCCAGTAGACAGCCGTTTGTGCGCTGTCCGACTGAACGGAACAGTAAGAATCCGGAAAGATAGGGACACCCGTCGTTGCCTCTTCGTCGTTTCTGCCTATTCTCCCACTGACTGCAGCTCAGATGATGTAAAAGATGAGTTTTACAGAAAGCTTTCCGACCTTCTCCGAAAAGCTAGGCGCTATGATGTAGTAATAGTGGCCGGTGACTTTAATGCTCAAGTAGGTAAACTAAGCGATAGGGAAAGACACCTAGGTGGATCTTATGGTGTCGTGGCTCAAAGAACAGATAATGGCGACCGTCTGTTGCAGCTATGCTCAGATAATCGCCTGTTCCTTGCAAATACTAACTTTAGGCATAAGGAAAAACATCTTTTAACATGGCGACCCCCTAATTCGTCCCAACGTTGGACCCAAATAGATCACATCGCCATCAGCCACCGATGGAGGGGCTCGATAAAAGACTGTCGCTCATTCTGGAGCACATGCCTATATTCAGATCATGCTCTAGTGCGAGCACGTATTTGCTTGCGTCTCACTGGACGTAGGAAAGACGCTGCAAGGAAACCTCTTAGGGGTCTACTTAATGATAGTCAAGCTAAGAGTATATTTCAGGAACAACTAGGAAAACAGTTAGGCAGCCATGTATGTGCTGCCCACCCCGATGCAGCATGGAATGATATCCGAAAAGCTGTGGAAACAGCAGTGATATCTGCTAGTACTGTAACCCGTAAGGTTAGGGAGGAACACTGGATCTCAGCAGCATCTACCGCACTGATAAATGCTCGAAAACTCATTCCACCTGGCTCTGAACATAGTGGAGAGCGGAGTCAGCTTAAGCGCAAGCTGACAAGAAGTCTACGCAATGATCGTGAACAGTGGTGGGTAGCGAAAGCAAGAGATGGGAAAGGCAGCGGCAACTGGCCTTCAGCCGCACTTCGGTTTCCCACGATCCCCAGTCAACCTGAATGGCAAATTAATGCAGGTCCTCCGTCTCTTAACGAAGTTGAAAAAGCCATAGGAAATCTGAAACGAGGGAGAGCAGCAGGCCCTGATAGGTTTACTCCTGAGATTTTTAAGGATGGTGGTCCAGTATTAAGCAATGAGATTAACCGAGGTCTTAGGTAGAATTTGGGAACTGGACGTAATCCCATCTGACTGGTCTCAATCACTGATTGTGCCAGTTTTTAAGAAAGGACAAAAGTCCTCTTGTGACAATCACAGAGGAATCAGTTTGACTAATATAGTGTCTAAAATATTAGCTTCAATAATACTTCAACGCCTAACGAAAGCTCGTGAAGAACAGACTAGAAAAAATCAGGCTGGTTTTCGACCTGGACGTGGTTGTATAGACCAAATATTCACACTACGTCAGGTTCTAGAACACAGACACACGTTTAGACGCCCCACAATCGCAGTATTTCTCGACCTTTAGGCGGCATTCGACTCTGTTGATCGTGAGGTTCTATGGCAGTGTTTGTCACTGAAAGGAGTACCGAAGAAGTACATTAACCTTATTCAGGCTCTCTACTCGAACACAACCGGTAGAGTGAGAGCTTATGGCGAACTGTCATCAGAATTGATTACATCAAGTGGTGTTCGTCAGGGCTGTCCACTCTCTCCTTTCTTGTTCAACTTTGTGGTCGACGTACTTTTAGAGATAACACTCTCATCTAAATTTCCAGGGGTTGAACTTCTACCGGGAGGTTCACTTGTTGACTTAGAATATGCTGATGACATCGTTTTATTTGGTGAAGACGCTGACAAAATGCAGAGTCTTCTGACCACTCTAAGCAACAATGCAAGCATGTTCCTGTTGGGACGGTATATTCCCAAAATTCATATTTGTAATTTTATCATATCGATTGACTCATCGATTAAATATTTGGAAGGAAGTCACATGATGAACTTATCGACTAAATATTCGAATGCCTGTCGACTGATGAACTGAATGAGTCATGTTTAAAAATAACATTTAATATGACAATATCGATTTTATATATTTATATATATATACGTTTAATTTGTGTCTGAGTGTTCACTACTGTTCGCTACTGTTGCTGCTGCTGCTTGCTTGCTTGCTCGCTCGTTTTCTGGTTGTATGCAGAATATATTTTCCATACCAAGCCTGGACTTCTCCTTCTAGATAGCGGGGCTGGGACGCGTCAATAGTTAGATTACTGGTCTTTGGTCACTGAGTATAGTTCTCGTTCGCAGTCTAAGTGAACCCGTGAAGCTTCAAACCTAACAATTTGGCGACGGTGATTTCGGAAATATGGATCCATCTAAACTTGAATTATTACTCGAGCAGCAGATGAAACTTATTCAAATGTTAGCAGATGCAAAGCTTACATCTAATTCTCAACCAAGCAGTTCTAATCCTATTACTACTGCACCGTCAGTTGATGGTATTGCTAACAGTATCTCCGAGTTTCATTACGATCCAGAATCCAATGTCACGTTTGATATGTGGTTTCGACGTTACGAAGACTTATTCAAATTTGACTTTGCCAACCAGGATGATGCTTGGAAGGTCCGCTTGCTGCTTCGAAAGTTGGGTCCTAGTGAACTAGACAAGTATTGCAATCTAATTCTGCCTTTAAACCCACGCGATCGTTCATTCTCCGACACTGTCCAGTCATTGAGCCAACAATTCGGAGACAACTCCTCACTATTCAATGCGCGCTATCGATGTTCGAAGCTCACTATGAACGAAGATGATGATTTTCTCACACATGTGGGTATTGTCAACCGAGAATGTGAACGCTTCCGGTTGAAGTCGCTTACTGAAGATCAATTTAAAGCACTCATTCTCATCTGCAGCCTTCAATCGCAGAAGTTCAGTGACATTAGAACACGTTTGCTAAGTCGATTGGACCAAGACCCAAAACTAACTCTTAATGATATTGCAAATGAATATCAACGTCTAATCAATCTACAGCGTGATACTACAATGGTCCAGCGTGGTGGTTCAAATCGTACCGAAGTTCATGTAGTCCAACAACCACTCAACTCGCATAAATCTGCCCCAGCTACATCTAGTTCAGGTCGACAGACAAAAACAAATCCTCCTGCTCCATGCTGGCACTGCGGTGCATGGCATTTTGTTCGATACTGTCCATATAAGCAACATCGGTGCAGGAAATGTAATGTGGTGGGTCATAAAGATGGTTTTTGTCGAAAAAAGAAGCCGAGCAACTCCAGAGGTACCAGAAAACCTACGCCTAGATCCAACACGAATTCGTTGAGTCTAATAGCAAGCTGTGAGAACTCAACCCCAGTTGAGAGGAAATTTATTACCCTAAATATTAATGGGCACCCTCTTAGATTGCAAATAGACACTGCATCTGATGTAACGATTCTCTCACGAAAATCTTGGATCAGAATGGGAAGACCACGCCTTGTGCCGACAACACAAAAACCGCGAACCGCATGTGGTAATTATCTACGTTTGTCGGGACAACTAGATTGTAAAGTGTCTTTTCATGATTCGACGTTTACCGGGTTATGTTACATCACACCAGCTGATCTTAATCTACTTGGGTTAGACTGGTATGACCGGCTACATTTAGCTGACGTTCCGTTAAGCACCGTATGCCATCTGGTTGAACAACCTCATGAACCTGAAGCATATTCGAAAGAACTAATGACGGAGTTTTCGACCAGCGAACATCATACGGCCGGA